CTCTCTCTCTCTCTCTCTCTCTCTCTCTATATATATATATATATATATATATATACACATATATACACATACACATACACACATACATACATACATACATACATACATACATACAGTATATATTCAACTCAAGGCAGCAAGCATACCTAATACTCTTTCCTCCTCCTAATTTCCCCACAACAACAACACTGAGTTGGGATGGGCTGAGAGAGAGGGACTGGCCCAAAGTCACCCAGCCGGCTTTCATGCCTAAGGGAGGCCTAGAACACAGTCTTCCGGTTTCTAGGGCAGCACCTTCACCACTACACCAAACAGACTCTCTGATGATAATGATAATAAAAGCAGATCCTTCTTAAGTACAGAAGTGTTCTAAGAACAGTCCAAAGATTCCAAAGAACACCATTCCAAGTTCTAGCTAAGTCAGCTAGAAATACACAGAGTGTCCTATTTCTGAGAGGCAAACTCTTTTTTTGCTCTCCCAAAGGAAAGGAGGCTGCTTTCCCCAAAGTTCAGACAGATCTTCCATTCCAAATAGCAAAGAAAGATTTGAAGCCCTCCACACCCTGTCATTCAGGCTATGTCAACACATCATCCTGAGGTCTAGTTATCAACTGACCTAACAAAAGATTATCAATTAGCATCATTAGCATACTGTATATATTCAGGTTGCTAGATTTATCAAATACATGGCTTTCTAAGACTTGGGGATGGTAACTATCACAGGCCATGCACTGCTTGCCTCTCACCTGAAGGTATGTCCGCATGAGGGGCAATTAAACTCTGCCGTGCCCCACATTTTATTGTATGGCACTGGATCGTAGCGGGCTGCACATCGGCGGCAACGGGACACCTGTGGAAGACACCAAACAAAGAGCTGAACAGGCTTCCAACTCCCAGAAAGAATCTCAATAATGGCCACAAGAGCAGAAATTCTTCAGATTTGTGTATCAGTGTGTTGTTGCAACTATTGGTCTAAGGCTGGTTTAACCCAGGCATTTCTCTCCTGGAGCCCGGCCACACTGCAATCTGTTTCATTTGCAAACTACAACCACGATACTGTAACCCCAAACCACTTCTCTTCTGTTTTAGCTTTACCAATGGGAATCAGAGACATTTTCAAGAATTTACAACCACCATCTGGATTACTGCAAAATGTGAGTTGGGAAAGAAGAGGGAAGGCTGGCAATCAGTCTCTTTAATAATAATATAAAAAAAAAACTGCAAGAAAAATGTGTTGGTGTATATATTTCACCCGGTCCAGAGGTCCAGGAAGCAAGGGGGAAAAGCCTGTTTCCTGAAGTTGCAGGACAAGAACCATGCGGGTCATTAAGCGAGGACCTCACATGATCACAACTTCTGACTTCCTGCTGGCTTCCCCATTGACTTTGCTTGTGGGAAGCTGGCAGGGAATGTTGGAAACCGCAATCACGTGATTGTGGCTCGCTGCAACATAATCGCAAGCCTCACGCCAAGCACCCATATCACGATCACGTGACCATGGGGACATTGTGACAGCTGAAACTCCCAAGAAGCCATTGTTGTAACTTTGAACAGTTCTGAACAAATGGTCGTAACCCGAGGACTACCTGTACAAATCTGCATTTTAAGATCTTAAATAAGAAATAAGGAATAAGGAATTGGCCCTTGAGCTGATGATGTCTCATTTTCATTGCAGCAATGCAAAATCTGGCTATTGTGCAGGTAATGGTAGGTTTTGTGTCGCCTAAGAGCAGGAAGCAAATGCAGAAAGAACTCTTGGAGGTCATACTAAGGATCAAATTAGATGCAACAACAGCAGACACAACTCAGATTCTGTAGAATCTCTACAGCAAACTGCAGCTCTGTACATTTGCGGACCCTATGATGACTTCATCTCAACCAGTCCTCGGCATGACTATGAGGGAAAGGCACAAGACTGGAGAAAGCTCATATACACATCCCCAAGTCGCTCATGCTACAGTTTCCCTCCCAAAGAAACTGTAGTCATACTGGATAACTCATGGCCCTCATGCAACCTCTAGCCCCATTCTCCTAGCTCTTGGAAGCTCTCTGAGGACACACTACTGATCTTTGGCAGAAAATAGATGATTTTCAGTACCAATGAGGGAAGTCTCTTTGTAGATGTTTCTTTCAAATAAGGGCTAAAAGGGGTGCATGAAGCATCCAATAACTTGAATGTACCTATTTTGCCTTTGAAAAATTCTAAAACCCAAAGAAACACAAAAAGGCTTTAAAAATGGGCTCTGTTGCACTGGTGAGATCACCAGGTCTCCAGCCCAAGGAGCTATGACACTGCCTCAAAGACTAAGGTTTAAGAAAAAGAAATGTGTTTCTCAGTTGTAAAAGTTTGCCAGCTTCCTTTTAAAACTGGAATGACAGGTGAAAATACTAACCTCTATGCTTCATATGGATTTAGTGGAAGACTGAGTTTTATCGCATACTTACTTGGCCTTTTTCTTTTAAATTTAGGCAAAAGTAGGAAGAAAACAGTGAGGAAGACTCAGTGAGGCCAGGAGAACAGTATAGTCAGAAGTCACCCTTAGACTAGCTCCCTTTCAGGGCTAAGCAGTCGTTATTTCTCAGACAGGCTCATGCACATGTGGACATCACACCCACCTCTTTTCTCTCTGGGACCCGACGCCACCACATCTTGTCACAAGACTGGCAGGCAAACTGCCGGCTAACTGGAGGGATGCGGTTGTTTTGGGCATTATTGAACATCCGTACATTCTCCTTTGTCAAACTCAAGGGCTTCAGCTGCCTAGCAACCTCCTGAGGAAAATAAAGAGGAAGGACATGGAAGCGATCCCAGGTATTCTAAACGTTCAAGAATTTCCCTCATAGATTAAATTAATGTCCTCATCAACAAGGGAAATGAGTGAGGGGAGGATGGATGGATGGATGGATGGATGGATGGATGGATGGAAGGAAGGAAGGAAGGAAGGAAGGA